AATAAAAGGCTTTTGTCACGAAGAACAAAACGCATTTTTCATTTTTGCACTAAGTGCATTATTGATCGAGTTATACCATTTTTTTATTAAAAACACTATGCCACCCTTAAGCTGTGCATGCAACTACATTCATGATACGGATACGAAGGTGTGCTCAAATGAAAGGTAAAAACATTTAATATTGTAAACAAATTGAACCATAACATTTTATTGATATTTTACTGGCAAACAGCGGTTGCGAGCTTTTTCATTTTTAACATAGGGTAAGATTTAATTTGACTGGAGTCAATGCCAAGCGTTGATAAACGGTGGCATATTTGCTCTTTTACTTCTACCATTTACATAGATTTGAGCTGTTTTTTTAAAATTCAACTAATTTTGTACTTCACTTGCTATTTCAACTGTGTAAAATTTCTGCTGTCTTATATTGTATCTTGTTTTACCTCAAAGCCTTAATAAACTACTAACCAATCAAATTTCTTTCTCTCTCTCTCTCTTTCTCTCTCTTTCTCTCTCTCTCTCTCTCTCTCTCTCTCTCTCTCTCTCTCTCTCTGGGTACGTAGCAACACACGTTTCTCCTTCGCTCCTCTTTCAGACTATTTTACTGCTGCTTTCTGCCTTCGTGGCGCTTTTGTTTTGCAGTTGTTGCACGCCAAATATTGCAAGGTTTCAAGTGCACAATTCGCTTTGCTGCATCTCTGACCCTACAATTAATACTCAATCATTTTTCAAAAGGGCTCAAATTGAAGGTTAGTTTTCTAAATCATCGATACAGGCAAAATCGGAAGAGATCTCCAGTGCGCAGTCGCTACAGATTCGCAAGTTCTACTCAAGTCACAAGTGTTCTGCTACGTGTCGAGTTTCTTTACCTTCTGCTAGTGTTGGAAAACTTTTAACCTAACAAGCTCACGATAATGTCTCAATCAGAAACAGCATCAGCATCAGAAACAACGCCAGCAGCTCTTAAAGTCGTAACTGAACATATTCTGAAATACGTCGACATGACCATGGACAAAGTGCCTGATCAGATGTTCAAATTCATGGATCGTTTAACGTCTAGGATTGAATGCTTAGATGCGTCAATCAAAGAGCTTGACCGTCGTGTTTCGAAACAAGAAGCTGCTGACAAAAAGCAAACTCCATTTACATTACCGTTCAAAGAGGAGATGAAAAATATAAAAATCGCTGCAACTCAATTCTGTGAGTCTGTAGCTGTCATGCCTAGCACCAGTGCCTGTCACTCTCACCTGACTGACCAGTGCGAGATGATATTGTCTGGTTTGCCATCTAACCTAGAGCTATCCGAGGACCAAGTCCTTAAAAAGATCTTCTCCACTATGGACCTGGAACATCACGAGCGATTTGTGAGGAGGACTCAAAAATGGAAACCAAGGCACTCTTGCTCCGTCAAAAAACCCACTCGTGCCATCGTCTTTCAGTGTTCTTCTCCGATTGTGCGTGATGGACTCATCGCTCAATCTTTTAATCTTTCAAGATTCGATAATAAGACTCTGTTTAACACTGACGGTGAATTGAAGCTCTCATCAAGTCCTCTATGGCCGAAAAATACATATAATCTGCTGCGCGAAGCAAAATCGCTAGCTCGTCGTCTTCATTATCCTAGCCCAATCGTCCGAAACTTAACTGTCCTCATGCGCAAGTCACCTCAGTCAGAATTCATACCCATTCACTCTAAAATAGACCTAGATTCAATATCATCGAATCCATAACGTACCACTTCCTTTCCTATGTAACACTTCATCTACGTACCCTCGCGACTCTTTCATGAATTTTCTCCTTTCACCCTTCATATTCACCAATACTGTATTCAATACTTATAATTTGCTTTTCACTCAGCTCTCAAATTGTTTTTTCTCCGTTAAATTATGTATGTTTATACACTATTCTTTGCTGTTCTAATTGTGAATAATACCTCCAATGCTTTCAAATGCATCTACTTAAGTTTACTTAGTATATATTACATTTTTATTCTTGTTAAACTGCCGTTCTTGCCTCATGTGGTTATACCTCAAGGCCAAAATAAAAACTAATCAATCAATCAATCAATCAATCTCTCTCTCTCTCTCTCTCTCTCTCTCTTGCGTATCGCATTTATAGCCGACGCCGCACCGCCGAGGCTCTGGCAGCTTATCGATTTCATCGTCGCAACCTCAAAAATCGACTCGACTCGGCCAAAAACGGCTATATCTCTCGTGAGCTGGCTGCTGCAACATCACCCAATAAATATTGGTCCGTTCTAAGAAGAATTGGAGTCACTGCTCAAAAAAGCCCGTCCCCGCTCACGTATTTTTCATCGGCAGTACTTTGTCAGCACTACGCTCGCGTCTCTTCTGCCTCACCACCGCTTACAATCGAGTCTATCAAAAATGCTCAAAACATACCTTTGCCTCATACTGCACCCACGTTCTCTTTTGAGCATGTCACAGCATCGGACGTGATTGCGACAATGGCCAAATGCAGCTCCTCCAGCACCGGGCCCGACGGTTTACCACTGTCTGTGCTCAAGCTCGCCTCTTCCACCCTGGCTGAGCATATCGCTCATCTGGCCAACTCATCATTTGCGACAGGAGTCTTTCCATCCGCTTGGAAGCTGTCGTCAGTCATTGCGCTTTCTAAATGCCTCACGCCGCAGTCTCCATCTGATACTCGACCTATATCGCTCTTGGCTGAGCTCTTCAAAATCATCGAGAGACTTGCTCACGCACAGCTTTCAACTCATCTGGCTCAGCATAATCTGCTTGACCCCCAGCAACACGGTTTTAGACCTGGTCGCACCATGGCGTATTGATCTCTAAGCTGCGTCGTATTGGCTGCGATGCAGCTGCTGTGGAGTGGTTCGCTAGCTACCTCAGCGATCGCACGATTGCAGTCAGAGGCGACGACGGCACTCTCTCTGAACCGCTGTCGATTTCTTCGGGTGTCCCGCAAGGCTCTGTTCTTGGGCCCCTACTTTTTGCCATTTTCATAAATGACCTACGTGAAGCTTTGGTGTCCTCTAAGCACATCATCTACGCCAACGACACTGCCATTTTTCAACATCACTTCCCGTCAAAAATTCGAGAGCTTATTGCTAATATCAACTCTGACGCCAATGCAGTCTCATCCTGGGCTATAGAAAACCAGCTCAATCTCAATCCAGCTAAAACCAAGGCCATCATTCTCGGCAGTCTCGCCTATGTGTCCGGCATTGACTCAACCGCAATGCCTGTAATCTCAGTGAATGGCACAAACATCGCCTTCTCGACGAGTATTAAATGTCTCAGCATTACCATCGGTCCGACTCTGACGTGGACAAAGCACATTAATACCCTCAGGTCCAGATGCCATTTTGCACTATATTTGCTGCGTTTTTACAGACACGCACTAAATCGAGACTTCAGAGCCAAACTTGCAGTCACGCTGGTCCTGCCTCACTTGGATTATGCGGCTGCTGTCTACAATGACGTATCTGCTACGTCCGACCTCCGACTTCAGCGTCTCCAAAATGCGTGTGTCCGCTTTGTCTTAGGGACAATACCTGCTCGCGAACACGTGACCCCGTATCGTCTTGCTCTCGGCTGGCTGTCGGTTAAGCGACGTCGCCAGTACTTGCTTGTTTTACTGACGCTCAATATACTACGGAAGGGCGAGCCCGGCGCTCTCCGAGATCTCTTCACACTCTCTTCCGATCAGCAGATTCGCCACTCATTGCGACGGCAAGCCCCGTTATTGCATTATAAAACCCCTCGCACCTCATCACTTCATAATTCATTTTTCATCACCGCCTCACGCATCATAAACTCACTTCCATTTCAAATCGACCTCACCAATAGATCCATAAACTATCGCGCATCTCTTCACAACCACTTATTCTGCCTTGACAAGGCAGACTGGATCACTCGTTGCCACAACGAAAACATCGAACCAATTCCACCCCCGCTCATCAACGAGCTGGTTCTCTGGCCCTAGTCCGAGAGAATCTTACTCTCGCAGATTGCATCTGCTGTCTCATGATTTTCTGCTCTACACTAGTTATAAGTAACAATGTTATATTCTGATCTTCGGCACTTGTAAATATTTTTTGTCTTTTATACTACTCTCATTTTGTATAATAGTTCATTGACTTATGTACTATTGTCCACCTGGGCCACATAGGGTTTCACCCCACGGTCCAATCAAATAAACAAACTCAAACTCTCTCTGTATTGTGGTTGCTATTGAACAGTGTCCATTTGTGTATTTTGTTGTGAAAAGTTCTGTCAATGTGCATGTTGTTAAGCACCCAATTTGATATTGTTATGTTGTATCTAAGTGAATTTAACAAATTGCTCTACTGTGCCTTAAATTATGAGAAATTTAAGTATCAGTATTATATAGTCATGTTTTTGCGACTGATTGCTTGTAATATTCTAATGATACTTAAAAGTTAGTATCTAAGTGCTTAGTGTAATGTTATTCGTATATTAAAAAATTTTTTGCATTTTTATTTGTATACTAATTTTAATGTTTGATTGCATATTTTATGCCATTCGGACCATGCAGTCCTAATTGGCATTAATAACAACGTTCAAATCAAATCTTTCTTTCTTTTTTGCACACTCGTAAATAATTAAATTATCGGTCATTGCAAGACAAGAGCAAGAAGTGTTCGTGTGGGTACGATAAGATACTTTGATACAAAGTATCAATCTTTATCCTCGTGTGAGTCTACACCTGAGAGTGTTTTTTTTTCATTATATTCACTGTTTAATTACTATTGGGATGGGATACATTATTTATTAACTACTTAGTTAGCGATTAAAAAAAAAAAAAAAACATAGGATCTATTAAATATTTCAGGAAGTTTTGCCAATACATGGGCAACGCTTCTTAAAATTTATCATTTTAATTTTTGAGATAAAATACAATTTGATTTTCAAATATATGATGTTAAAAAATAAATTTTCTATCAGAGAAATTAATGAATATATATTTCATTATTTATAATCTTCAATATAAAGGCCAGATCATTTTAAGGAAGACCTTGCATGGAACAATGATGGTTACTGGAATGTATCCTCTTCAAGAAGTAATATTCATAATAATCGAAAACAATTACCTGAAATTCCTATATATTATGAAGAAAATAAAGACACATCAAATGTTTATTATGACAATGAAAACGGCTATCACAGGTATGGTAAAAAGTTTAAATTTAGAGTAAAATAAGTAAAAATTGATACATTGTTATACAAAGTGATGGTAAATGGCAAGGGAGCGGTCGTTGACTCAGTGGTAAGCGTGCTAGCCTCGGAGACAATAGACCGCTCGAGGAGCCGGGTTCGAATCCTGGCGAGGGAAATTGGATTTTTCCGATTGCCGTTCGGCGGGATGAGAACCCATGTGCTCCGCCTATCTCGGGGCGGGTTTTTCCCTGGAGGAGGAGGAGGAGGAGGGTGTAGTGTATATGCACTACGTATACCCCCAGGTTTCCCCTGCCCCACAGGTCTTCGGGCCTGGGCAAATGCGAGACAGCAGGAGGGGGGTAGTTAAACTCTTCCTGCGCACGGGCTCTAAGCCCCCTGCAGGTCCTTCTAAGAAGAAGGTGTCTTGTAAAGAGAGATAGAGAGAGAGAGAGAGAAAGAAATTATCGTGATGCCATATTATGTCTATTCTCGATATTGTGATGAGTCTGATCACTTTTGCTGTAGTGAGAAGCAGGGTTGTAAAATAATGAATTAAAAGACACTACAAATCATAAATACAATTGATTTATGAATTTAAACTATTTTAAATCACGAATCAATTTTGATTTTTGACTTAAATGATTTTAAATCACGAATCAATTTTGATTTTTGACTTAAATGATTTTAAATCACGAATCAATTTTGATTTTTGATTTAAATGATTTCAAATCACGAATCAATTTTGATTTTTGATTTAAAATCATTTTAATTCACGAATCAAAATTGATTCGTGAATTAAACTTGATTTAAATTATTCATGACTTAAATAAAATTTCAGGTCTCCAGTTTCTATGAGTTGTTCATACTACAGGTATAAAAAATAGCCAAGAGTGAACTTCTCGTGTACATTATAGCTCTTTTATTTATAGGAAATTTAGTTTTTTTCATTTTAAAGGTTTCGTAATAAACATTTAAATTATTATTGACCTCTCCGAGATCATTGTAGTGAAATTCCCGAAAACTTATAAAATAATACTTACAGAGGGGTTTTTGGGGTTGCTGATTACGAATTCGTTGTCGGCGATTATCTCCGAAGTACCCGGAGCTCAGGGTGGCCGTCATGAACGACCTCTCCGAGATCGTTAGATTAAAAGTCACGAAAAGTCACAAAATAATACCGACGGGGGGGAGGGGGGCCAAAACAATATAAAAAAATTAAAACTATCTAAAGGAGTCTATTCTGTACTTCTTTTACCTACCTGAGGCTCGGTAACCCCAAAGAAAAAACTATTGTTAAATCATCTTATTTGTGGCTTTTTATCCACCTGGGACTCGAGAATTCCATAGACATGAAAATTCTATGTCGCTTTTATGCATCAGGGGCCCGAGTAACCCAAAAGAACAGTAACATCTCGGAGAAGTCTGCTCCGATTAGCTACCAGGAAACCGCAAAAAAAATTTGGGAAAGATCTGTAATCCGAGGTTGGAAAGGTCTCCTTGTTAAAGTAAAAATATAGTCCTATTGACAAATGAAGAATTAATAAGTTTTACGTTATTTTTTCTTGTATAACCAAATTATAAAGGATCAATGAAATAGTAAAAATTTAATATTTGCCAAGAATAATTTAAATGTTGATTACGAAACCTTTAATATGAAAATAACTAAATTTTCTAAGTGCGTGAAAAACTCTTACATAAACAGGAAAATATAAATATACTTTTAGAATTCGAAACTTGGAGAAGCTCAAAAGGATTCAAACTCCCTAGAGAAAACCATTATATACCTCAAAAACTCATCTGAGGGCCAAGAAACCCAACAGAACCATAACATCCTGGAGAAGTCCGCTCTGATTTATTTTAATATCCTGGAGCCTAAAAAGCTTAAAAGAGCTATAATGTACACGAGAAGTTCACTCTTGGCTATTTTTAATACCTGGAGCATGAACATTTCATAGAAACTGGAGACCTGAAATTTTATTTAAATCATAAATGATTTAAATCAAGTTCAATTCACGAATCAAAATTTATTCGTGATGTTATATACCCTTGTAAGGTATCTGATTCAAACACAGCTAAGAGTCATGTGACTCTTAGTACCTTTCGTCTTATGAATGAAAGAACAAATCAAACCTTAGTAAATCGAATTAGGTGCAAAATTTTCGAACAGCAGAACCGGCCATGGCCAAATATTGCAGAAGAGTGTGTGAAGGAATATAACACTACGGTTCATTCTTCAACCGGATTTTCACCAAGGTATCTTTTGACGGGAAAGAGTGATGATTACTTGCCTGCAGAAATAAATTTAGGTGATCAAGATAATTTAGAGGAAAATAGAAGGAGAGCAAGAGAGAATGCAGAGAAGAGCCATAGGCAGAACAAGGAATATTATGATAAAAATAGTGTAATTATCGATTATAAAGAAGGAGATTTAGTTTATGTACAAAATAGCTCTAAGTTAAATAGAAATAAGTTAGATTGTATAAGGAAAGGACCGTTTAAAATAGAAAAGAAAGTATCGAATACAATATTTACAATTGATACTGGTAATAAAAAAGAATCAAGTATGTATCATGTAAGTAAGTTGGTGCCTTATAAAATGCATAATTAACTCTTACCTGTGTTTTTGAACGGGGGGATGTAAGGTATCTGATTCAAACACAGCTAAGAGTCATGTGACTCTTAGTACCTTTCGTCTTATGTATGATTGAATGTAAATAAGCGTATCGATGTCAGATAGAGGCAGACGGTTATACAGGATACAACGTACTGTAGTTCCGACATTTGTGTTGATTCAGGTTAGTTTAATAATGTTAATTTTGTAAATAATGTAAATAGTAAATGTTAAATAAATCCCACAGTTATTTTACTGCAACAACCACGTCGTGTCATTTAAATAACGCCCAAGCTTACACCTATTAATACGGGGTAATAACTTTATTATTTGAATATTAAATATTACTTTCTGTTGTGTCTGAGTGGGGAAGGATCATGAAATAAAGTGTATAACGCTCAAGTGAGATTTACACACAAGACTTTATTACAAGAAAACTAATAACTATTGAACAAGCTTACAAAATAAGTGTGGCCGATGCTCGTCGATATGTAGGGCTGCAAACGCCGTCGGGGCGCTACCGTTGTTGCTGTTGCTGGAGCGTTACGCTGATGCTGCTTGGCCGCCGGTCGCGGCTGCCTCGGTGGTGTTGCGGTGGCTGCTGCAGTGACGGTCGTCGCTGCTGTTGGGCTGTTGCGCTGCTGGGCTGGGTGAAGCACTCACTCGAGCTTTACCGTTCGCGAATACAATTAACAATTTCGATGGTCGCGGCGTATAAGTACAAGTACAAGTTAGTCGCTGTTATTGACTCGCGCTTGGTTCTCACTAAGTACAAAATGTGCAATTCGCGTTGTATTACAAGTCCGTTAAATATTTCAAGTCGCTGTTACACTGATTTGATTATTCGCGCGCACAGAGCTTCGCCTTACTCGACTCTTTAGGATGATCTGCCCAGAGCTTCGCCCTGCTCGACTGTATAAAATGATCTGCCTCGAGGCCTAATTTTTATGCACGTTATATACTAATTAAATCATGGACCTTTTGGCGGGGGTACGTCTTGGGTTTTTCCCGCAAGTCGCAAGTCTACCAGCTATTTCGTCACTTGTTGACTCGGTTTCCGCTAGACCAGTGTGCCCAATGGTTATCTGAGGTCAAAGGTCAAACTTGGGGGAGATATGGGACTTGCGAGCGCGCGTGCGAACCTGCTTCTCCCCTTTGTGCCAATTCAAATTATTCCACGAGTCTCGTCTCGCATGTGTGTGTTATGTCTTCTTTGTGTTCGACTTACACACACACGCGAGTACACATACACGGAATATATACGCGTGCGAAGGCTTGATCTAATGCGTCGGTAATGTTGCTCGCGCACGTCCGTACATACCTTCAGCCTTTGCCTTGCTCTGTGTTCGGCTGATACACATATGCGCGTGGGTTCGATCTAATGCGCCGATGTGTGTTGGCCGCTTACATTCACACACACATTCATGCGACAGCGCCTGCCTGTCTCTGTGTTCATCTTACACACATGCCTCTTTACGCGAGATCAGGCGTCATACGTGTTAATTTGACGGTCTTATTTAATTATTATATTTAAATTTTACTATACCCAACGCTGGGTTATTGGTATATAACAGTGACTTAGAATGATTTTAAACCAAAAATCAAAATTGATTCGTGATTTAAAATGATTTTAAATCAAAAATCAAAATTGATTCGTGATTTAAAATCATTCTAATTCAAAATCAAATTGATTCGTGAGTTAAACTGGATTTAAAATAAAAATTGATTTAAACTTTTACAACCCTGGTGAGAAGTATCTGCAGCTAATGCATATCACACATTCTTTTTAAAAAAAGTGAGTGAAAAGCAAGAGGGTAAATACACGAACCCGTTTTCCAATCCTTAAACTCGAAATCAGGGCTGAATTAACTCATTAGTGCGGGATTGACTTTTTTAGTTAATTTTTAATCAAATATCTTTACCATTAAGAATTTTCCAAAATACTAAAAAGTACATGATTTTGATGTTAAAAGTTGACGTTCTTTCAAAATCCGAACTTAAAACTGAAGTTAAAAAGTTTTATACAATTAAAGAACAAAAAACACAAATTTCAAGTCCATCGAACTACGCATAATAATCCGAAATAGTTGTTTCTATCTGAATTATTCCAATATGTTCTATTAGAAGAATTTCTATTAGAAATATAACGTTGTTCTCAATACCACCCGTTATCCAGTTTAGAAGCCAAAAAAGAAGAGCTCTATCAACTATATTTTTCGGTTACGAACGGTTTAATAGGTTTTTGTTTAAAATTTATAATAATTAGTAATCGATTGTAGTACCGCGCTTCTTTGGGTCCGGTGTTTAAGGTTTTTATTTGAATTTCGATGTAAACTCTAAAATAATCAGTATTACTAAATGTTTGAAAATTGTTTAAACAATAAATAATAATTTGGGT